TTAAGAGACTTTGTTGAATTGTAATTTTGTGATTGTAATTCTGTACATTTAATTAAGTTATTGTTAATTGTTATTGGCTTATTTTAAGTGGCTATTGTGTGGGACGAACATTACTAAGGAGGGAGCAGTGTTGCGTCGGCGAGGTCACGTGAATAGTATGACGCCACTTGCTTCTCGAACCTTCGTGAATGCCCTAGCATTTACTAGATTGGGGTAGTCTGGTATATATAAGATGGTCACAACGTGAGGGGACAATGTGTGTAGGTAATGAGTAATTGAACTGCAGTCAGAGAGAGATGTATTGTTGAAGTCGAGCTCGTGAGACGTGAATTATAGTTTGTTATAGCGCGACTGTCGAAGTTAAGTGTATCGTAAAGTTGTATTCGAAAAGAATAAACCAGTTTTATTTAAGAAAGGACTTGTGTCGCTAAAGTTTCGTCGGAACAAATTTACGGAAAATCAATTAACGAATGGAGACGTAACAATAGTATCGAATGCTCACTCCCAAAAGTCAAATTGAGTGGTCACTGTGGAATTAGAGAAAACTAAAGTTTGAACCCGATCTAACCAAAAACATTAATTTATCGCAAATGTTGTATTACGTGGTAAATGTTGTTATAAATATAATCTTTTAGAAACACATTTAACAATACATAAAATACATTGTACGTTATATTAAAATTTGCTAACCTAAAAAACAAAAACAGTTAGCAGTTAACAAATAAATTCAGAAATATAAAAAAGCTAAATTTTAATAATAAGTCAAAATAATCATGATGTTTGCCTACTAATGATTTCCTCATTTCTGAAGTGGGATATCTAGAAGCGAGAAAAGAAAACTACCACATGATTATTTTTTACTACTGTGTCTTTTTATTTTTCATTCCACTTCCATCTGTCAATAATCACACACTTTACTTTCTTCATGCAGTGGCTTTGTCAATAGCTGTGGTCACTGCAATTTGTTCAATATTCGAGTTGTGACTGTGGTATTACTTTAGTTTAAGACAAAAGGGATGTTTAGTTGTAGAAAACTGATTTTAGATAATGCAGTTTCAAATTTTGATTTTAAATGCTTAGGCCAGTGACGATTATAGGGCTATCTTAAACTTAACTTAAGCTCTTTGTTTATCATTTTGTATTTAACGATAAATGTAACTTGTAAGCACACCGACACAGTATATTTGAGATGTAAAATTGTAAGCTAATTTAATTTTAACTGTTAATGTTAATAATAATAGTATTGGTATTACCGTACGTATCATGTCAATAAAATTGAAAAGTATGGTTTATTGCCATTAATTAATTATTATAATTAACTGGTGAAATGGTGGGGTTGTACCAGAATGTAATTTATTTCAGTTGTTAGTTCATGAAAATGATTAATTTTAATTTTGAACTTATAGTGAGTTATACTATAGTCTGTAGCTATATTTTTGTTTGAAACTGAAAGATGACTGTTTGTGTTAATGTAATGTTGTGTTAATGTTAATAGTCTGGAAGTGGAAATAGGTAACTGGGTGAATACTTTGACTGTGTTTCAGATACTTACTAATACTGTGCTGCATAGTGCATATAGCAGCAGATTCATAAACCAAGACTTCAAAGTTCAAATTCAATTAAATATTTAACAGCTAAATTTAAAACAAATTTCAGAGTACAGTCAACAACATAGTAATATAGTAACTATTAGTAGTATTTTGGCTACTGTGTATGAAGTTGTACATTTAATATATTAGATTTTAGTTGTACTTTTTTTTTAACTTTCAGTTGCATTTTATAATATGTGGTTGTTTGTGAGGGAAAATTATTTTATAGGAGGGATAATGATTTGTTGTCTTTTACTAATTGTAAAGACTCCACAAATTGTAAATAAATATGAAGTAAAAATGGGAGAAAAATATAAGGATAGTATTTGGAAGTTTATGGACATTGTATCAAAGAACAGTATAAATACTGGAAACAGAGTAAAGCGTGAGGATAAAAACACTGCAGCACAACAAGAAGAGGAGTTCTTTGATGAGCAACATCAGTTAGAAGGGATTTTGAATAGTAGTTATAGTGCTAGAAAATTTGAATTTGAAAATAATGAAAAATTTCAAAGGAGCCTCAAAGGTCAAAAATCAAATGGCATTCCTTTGAATATACCTGTATCAAGTGTTGAAATGCAAAATCCAAAGATGATTGATGTTCATAAAACAAAGTTTGATCATGTACAACCAGGTGGCAAAGAAAGTTGTTACAAACCTGCTCGTTGTCAACCTTTATATAATACAACATGCTTTGGTGTGAAGCTTCCTTATACCCAAACATCTCTTGCACTTGTAAACACATCAGAAAGCCTTGCAGATGTCCAAGTGAGTATTTTTAACTTTAAATGTTTCTCACTCAGAACATAACCTATAAAATTCAGCCTTCTTAAGCTTGTGTGTATAGCTCTTTGTCTGTAATATTGTACTTTTTAATATTTTTTTTTTCAACATAGTCTAACAGTCAACAATAAACTTGTATACACTCTTGGAAGCTGTACTACATATGAACATTTATGTTTGAAAAGTTAAAAAATAAGACATTGATGGAAAACAAGATAAAATCATCTTGCTAGTTGGCAGCAAGAAATATCAAGACAAGTAATTAAGTAGAAACACAGCAGCATGAGGGAGTAGTAGTTTAAAACAATCAAATTTTAATTAAAGGCATTGACATATTTAGAGATATGAAACTGTAGCAGTCCAAAGTGTCAAATACAATGGCACGAGATCTGCCATATTGATAAGCATTAAGGTTGACATCCTTTACATTTGAAAAATACACGAGGACTGTAAACAGTCCCTGCCAAGCCATCTACAGTAGCTGTTGGCAGGCTGATGCTTTATCAAGATTTTTTTGTTTGCAAAACTGGGTAATAAAAGTCAATTTGTATAGACTGAATTGTAATGTTTCTCTATCACTATCAGTAAGACAGTTTTGCTGGCTAAACTGAGACATGTTTACAGGTTGCCATTGAACGATGGTCACCTTGGATCAGTTTGGCAGCCCTTTCGGTCTCGTGCTGTGCATGAAGTAGTTTGTTAAATACAATTTATATTACAATCAAATTTGTTAGTTTGAATTTGCTAATTTGCTATCCAATTTTTTATTTTAACTTTAAAACATTGACTTAGTTTTTCAGTTACAAATATTTGATATCTATATACAATAATGTAGTGTGAAAATGTCCAACATCTCCAAGTCTCCTGGTGGGACAGTATTAAGTCTGTGGACTTACAAAGCTAAAATCCTTGGTTCAATTCCCTGCTGAGGACACAGTAGCTAGCCCAGTGTGGCTTTGCTCTAAAATATTTAGATAAAATATTGTTAAGCTAGGCCAATTAAAATTTAAGTATTGAAATCATAGCAGCCAACAAGGTAACACAAAGTTATCTGTGAGTCTGTCTGTGTTAAAAACAACAGCTGATTGTGTGGCTAATACCATGACAAATAATAACAGGATTTGAATTCAGAAGTATTTTTTTCTACCTTTATATTATCAAATTGTAATACAGATTTAAGAGATTTCACTGAAAATATTGAACCAAGGTGGGAACTTAGGTTGATATCAGTGAGATTCATGGATATCCAGGAGATATGGCATTTGTAATTAACAAATGCAATTGCATTTATTAGTTATAACAAGTGAGTATAATTGTTGAAATTTTATGATTTTACTGACAATATATTTGAAATATAGATTTCTTTACTTAAGTACTTTTTTGTTTCTTGGCTTTACACCTTTCACATATTTGTCCCAATTACATGGCTTTCCTAGCTTTGGGGAGATCCCCAGGTTATAGATCTGTAATGTATGAGAAACTTGTAATATATATAGTTTATAAATAATAATATAGGGTTTTTGGTTCTTGATTGTGTATATTAGATCCCGAGTATAATTATTGAACTTTGGTCTGCTAAAGTTTCATATCCCTAGATATCAAAATTTACTCAGTAAATTAGATTAATTTAAAGCTATTACTCTCATGCCATTGACTTTTTACTGAAACATGTGAATTAACACTTCTTGTTACTGATTTGTGAGACCCCATGTGAAGCTGGTCTAACAGTCAATAAGTGTTGCAGTGAGGACATGGAAACTTAGAAAGATTCCTTTTTGTGTTTTATTAGTGTTATGGGAAATGAGAAAGAGTGAAGTATGGTGATTAATACAAATTAAGCTTTTAGGTTGGAAATGGTAAAAAAAGTCAGTAGGGTTATGAGATATAATTACAGAAAGCATCTGTAATAGACAAGTTCAATTACTCTCCTTATAAAAAAAATAATAATAAGTAAAACCTGTCTCTTTTGTAACACAAGACTTAATTTAGATGTTTCATCAAGTCATGGCTCTCATATGTTTCCTTTTACCTCTTAAGTTGTCCTAGACATTATCCACTCTGTTCACCAGTGATCTATGAAAGGGTGATTCCATTTGGAATTGAACAGAGGATGCCATCAAGTTGGAGTAATTCCTCAACAGATGCTTTTTCTCACCATTGTATACATATCCTTGCATAGCATTTTGGGACATTGAAAACGTGATGACCATTGTCCAATTGATGTCTCAAATCTCCAACCGTACGGCTTCATTTTCATCTTTTCCTACTACCTTACACGATGCTCCCATTGCACTGTCCTTACCAGTCAGCTTTTTTTCTGGGTTTCTTCTGACTAGGCTGGTTTCATGATGTTGTCACAATTTCAGTTTCATGTGATGGGCAGGGCTCACATAAACTTTATTTTTTAGAGAGCCAGCTGGGCCCCCAAAGCATGCATTTTTTAGGGGTGAATCCTATAGCTCATTGTAAAATGCACTCTAAAGTAGAGGCTATCAGAAAAATTGCAGATGTTAGGTAAATTGAAAGGAAACTAAAGATATCAACATATCTCAATTTTTTGTTGTTAAATCGTATTTCATGAAGAAAAAAACACAAAAAACACTTCATTTTTTAGAGCACTAAAATTATTTTTATAAAGCATGGTATAATAGTAACTTTTGTTCCCCTTTAAGGTAGTGTCCTTTAATAATCAAAATAATTGTTGTTGCAAAAGGACAATGTACTTACGAATAAGAGTCTACCCTCACCAGACCAATGTTGCCAAAAGATATTCAGTCAAAGTCACAGAGAACACAGCATAAAAGTCATCCAAGTTGCACAAAATTTGCACAGTGTTAAAAATTTTCTTAAATGAAGAGAACCAAATGATAATGATCCGAAAAATAATGCAACAGAAAAAAAAGCTACAGGACCGTGAGCATGAAAGGTAAAAAAGAGGAAAAGTAGATACAGGGGCAAGTGGGAGAAGGATAATAATTGATTACACTATGATGAAGATGGTGGTGTAATATTCTGTAATGTATGTTGGGAAGAGAATGTGAATCTTAAAACTATTAGTCGACTGTTAGCATGAACAGCCTGCAGTTGTTCCGTGCACATGTTTTGTGCCAAATTGAAAATCTGTTGCAACAGAAATTAATACACCCTTCCCTAATAACCAATAATAGTTTTCAGAATACCACATCATGATTAGCCAATCATAGCTGAGTATCTAGCTCTATTCATCGGGCCAGCATTTAATGTAACTTGAATTGGGCTATGGCACTAAATTTATGAAAATTCAATTTTTTCAATTAAAACATGTCTCTTAAAACAAAAAACCAATATATATATATATTGTATCAGAAAAGGCCAAAAATGCCTGAAAAGCATCATAATTTTTTGTCACTGAAAGATCAATACTCTTACTGGAAATAATAGATCTAATCCTTAGATTCTACAACCATTTCTTCCATCATGCAACTTAGGTTTTTAATAACTGCTCATGTACTGCAAATGTTAGATTTTTACACAAAAAATGACTGGCAAACATACTAATCCAATTATCGCAAGGTCATACCAGGCCCAAGACTAGATCCAAGATTTATGCACAGAACTCCTACTCTACATAAAGCACTTCTTATGCATTCTAGCACATTGTTCATAGGGCAGTAACATTTCTTTCCACAGGTGTATTTCCTCTCTGATACACGAGTACTATTTAGAATGTTCCCAGGTGCGCAGTGCAAAGCATGCTAACATTTTTATGTGTCAATTTCACAAGCCCCGACCATCTTGTTTTTAAACAGGTGCATCACAGCTGTAGACCCCAGATTTTGATATCCCATAAGATTGGTGAGCAGCTTTGTTCACAGCTTCACTGCTCACTAGCATGGGTCCTTTGGGATAGTGCAATCAAGTGGAGGATCCCTTAGCCGCATCAACCTTGGCTATGAACTGCTTGGAACACACATTGCTTGACCTGTATACACAATATGTACACACACGTCAAGTATCGCTTACACACATACATGTAAACACTGCCTGTTAGGCATTATAGGCTATACATGTTACATCATACACCAACACAGATAACACACATCTTCAAGTTGAACATTCATTGCACTGGCATTCATAGTGACAATGTTTGTTGATTGTACATGACTGACAAGTGTTTGTAAATTTGGTAAAATCCATTCATGGTTTGTCATAAGTTTTGCTTGGTTAAGAAATGCTTGGATCAATTTATTAGGAGTCAAACTTTTAATATCTTTTGATTTTAACTCCTTCAGCACGGGCTCAGTCCTTGGGACCGACCTCGCAACCATTTTGTGCTTATTATAGTTTCATGCTATAACTTTTAAATTAGTAAGCGAATGTTAACGAAATTTGGCAGATTATCGGTAAACATTACATTGCTTTCATATGCAAAATATAAAATTTTTTATTAAGTCTTAAGGTTTATAAAGCAATGTTTTTCTCATGTCTATTTTTTATTTTCGCATGTTCCCTATCTATCATGCAAAGTAATATTCATTTTAAGATTTAAAATACTTTTAGGCATCAGAAAATTTTTAAATTTCACATGTGAAATCTTTATAATGTCGAGATAGTTATCAAATGTTTATTAAGAAAAACTTTATATTTTATCTGTTATTTTCAGTAATTAATCTCTGTATGGGTTTCAGTAGATTTCACTGATCTCACAACCAGCATAAGACATTAAAAAATAAATATAAATTATGCCTCTTTCATTCTACAATGAACACAAATTAGAACACGAAAACATAAATGTTTAGACTAACTAACTTAAATAACATTATACATTTATATATATTTATTATTTTTATTATATTGACTTTTCAACCACCTCATCTTATTTGTTGCCTTGCATTAAAAATTTTATTGAACTATTGTTTCATGAATTTATGTCACTAAGTTTGGTATCAAACTGTAGATTATAATTCAAATTTTAGTACTATACATTACTCAATTTCTTACTTTGT